CATGCCCTGTGAACCTGAAGCTGCCCCTCCTCCCCCAGCTCTACTAAAGCCTGGCTGTATCTTGTCCCTCAAGACAGTTAACTTTAAATGGCCACCTGTAAAAGCTCTCATGGACTCAGGGACTCTAAAGAACATGTTCAAAAAGGTGGTAGCCCAGAACAGAAATGACTGGGACATTCTCCTCCCTTATGTCCTCTTCGCAGTGAGAGAGGTCCCTCAAGCCTCCATGGCCTTTTCTCCTTTTGAGCTACTTTATGCACGACACCCGAGGGGGCTCCTGAATGTGATAAAAGTAGCCCGGGAAATGCAACCATCCCCTTTCTGCTCAGTGATCAAATATGTCCAAGATATGCAAAAAAGAATAGAGAAGATCAGGCCCATAGTAAAAGAGCACCTAGAACAGGCCCAGAGGGCCTCAAGGAGAACTTACAACCATCACACCCAGCCCAGACAATTCCAGCCAGGGGACCACATTCTCCTACGTCCACTAACTGTAACTTCCTCGCAACATGGCAAGGCCTCTACGTTGTAAAGGAATGACTAGGAGAGGTTAATTATCGCCTCTGCATACTCTGCAAAATGCCTCAATGACCAAGCTTACCATGTTAATCTCAAAAAAAGTATTGAACCTCATCCATGTTCAAGGCTGTTTCAGAGGTCAGCAAGGTCCCTGCCCGCTCAGTCATACACTATGGCACTGACCTCCCCCCAGTGCCAAAAATTAGCTGAACTGGTAGAACAATTCTCCAAAGAACCTGGGAGAACTCATGTAGTACAACATGACATCCGAACACCACCTGGGGTAGTTGGGCAGCACCGCTACCGAGTTCTGGAGGCCTGCTGAGATAAATGAGCCAAAATGCTCCAACTAAGCATGATAAAACCCTCTACTGGCCCCTGGTTTAGCCCCATTGTTATGGTGCCAAAACCTGATGGCACGTGGTGATTTTGTAATGACTTTCACCAACTCAATGATGTTTCCCTGTTCGACCTACCCTCTTTTTATTCATTAATTATATAGAAACCACAGGGCGAGTGCTGTTCTTCTGTTCTTACTCTGTGTCATGGGGTGAATGGAGGACTTATTTTAAAATGGAACTGAAGAATGAAGAGGATGACTAAAGAGAAACTCACAGGCGAACCACATGGAGAACCAGTTGAACACTGATGCAACTGGACTTCAGAAAAAGCCTCAAGAGAATAAACTTATTTGTTTTTTTCTTGTATGGTGTATGGTGCTAAGGCTTTATTTTGAGTCGCTGTCACAGTATTTATTTAACTCTTTGGTTTGGGGTTATTTACCTAAAGTAGCTTGAATTGTCCATTTCTTCTGTTTGTGTAAGTTGATTATTTTTATAATTGTCATTGTGTGTCACATTTTAATTATTGCATAGCAAGTATAAGAACACCCTCTCTTTTGCGTAGAAATTGTAGAGGTTCTCTCCATTGTTGACAGTTTTAAAATTGCACTTAAGGTCATAGCGGTTTGTCTTTTTTTGTTTTTGAGGTTATAGGGCATAACAAGGTCCAGCCACTGACAAGTTCTGTTAGGTGGCTGTGTGCATCTCCTCACCCCCTGGACTTGGACCAAGAAGCTGTGAATAGTTTTCACTTATGGACTGCCTCTTTTAATAATATAAAAAATGTACAAGAAGTGACTTGTTTTAAAGACTTTTAATAAAGAAACCCAATTGTTTGACACTGTTCCATTGTGCATTCCAGGTTTTCTTTTCAGGTGTAATCAGGCAATGGTGGTGGGGGGTAGGTTTAGGGTTAGACAGGTAAATTTAAGGTACTTTCTATTTTTTATTAGCTGTTAGCAGGAATTTTATTCCTCTGTAGTTTTATAATTATAAAAAATCTTGTTATTGTAATGCTATTTGTGCTGGGTAATTACAGTTAGAAGCAGTGAACAAGACATATCTTGTCTCTTCTGTGTATTTGCAAAGTACAGGAGAACAGCGGAAATTTCATGGGCCAACCCGCTTCCTGTTGTTTCTCTGTATCTGTAGAGTAAGAACAAGAGAACAGCGGAAACTTCATAATCCAGCCCACTTCCTGTTGTTTCTCTGTATCTGTAGAGTAAGAACAAGAGAACAGCGGAAACTTCATAATCCAGCCCACTTCCTGTTGTTTCTCTGTATTTATAGAGTGGGAGCGTGAGAACAGCACTCGCCTTGTGGTTTCTGTGTAATTAATGAATAGAAACCTTTTATAAATCCTTGTATGCCTTATTATTGTGTAATTAAATATGTAAATATGTATATTATTAGATTACTGTATTAAATATTTCATCCTCATCCTGTATTAAGTATTTCAGCCTTCCATAGTGGGTGCACTTGAGAGGGGTACATTGTACTTGAGAGGGGTACATTTTCCATGTATTCCAACTTGCCTGTTATGTAGCTGCGGTGCTGGACAAACATGCCTGCTAAGAGCTAATTTTCAAAGCATAGAGCCACTTCTCTACGTTCTCTTATTCAAAATCATGCAATAAAGTGGAAGACAGAAGCATAATAAATCCCTGGAATGTGGGTGAAGCTTGCCTGGCAAACTCACATGCCTAAAACATGATTGTCACAACTGCCATGAGCAGTTACTCATCCATACATAGACACTGACATGCTGAAACACATGGGATAGCAGCATGTAAATTGATAATAAAGTGGCGTTACCTCAGGGGACAACCTGGGAACACCCACACTTGTTCAAGTTGTGAGGTGTTATCTTGTGAGTGAGGTTGAACACTGGCAAGGCGACATGAATTATCACAGTGCGAACAAGGCATCACAGTGTGTGACAGATGGGAAATTTCATTTCCGAAGTTGTGCCGGCATCTAACGTTCCTTGATCCTCAGTGTCACGTGTGAAACTGGCGGTGTCTGGCTGGAACTGTCCATGTAAACAGACAAGCAACTTTGGCAGAAATCACATCCACATTCAATGCAGGAGGCCCCACAGGCATATCCCGTAGGTCAGTACAGTGTTCTTTAGCTCCCATGGGATATGGAAGCAGACGACGCCGCCACATACAAACACAAGTGCTGTGGGTGGCTATCAAGACTGCATGGCTCAACATCCCTCTAGACATCTTCGGTCCACCTGTCGAATCGATGCCACGTTGGGTTGCTGCACCTTGGGCTGGAGGGTGTTCTACATGATATTAGTACCTGTCCCATGACTTTTGGCATGTCAGTATATATATATATATACATATATATATATATATATATATATATATATATATATACACATATATATATATATTATATAAAGCATTTTAAAACACCCTTTCACATACTATATTAAAATAATGTCTTACAAGCAGTCATTCAACAATTTAACTCACATAAGTAAATGTAACCACTACCCGGACTGATCACTGGCCTACCCAATCAAGGGGGGAAATATTTATCAAGCAGGATATTTTAAGGTAATGAAATTTGATTTGTTTTGTGAGCGTTGCCAATCATAATCATTACACTCTCCACCAAGCTTTGCCTTATTTTCTCAGCCCTCCTTAGCTCAGTAGCTATTCGCAATTGCGGTAAGCCTTCAGTTCTTTATCAGTGCCTGTTGTGTCCCTAACTAGCGTGAGGACACTCCACACAGCTCCTCAGTAATTTTAGAAGGGGTTAATGAGATTCAGTGTGGAAGAAACAACTATACTGCCCAACGAACAGTGACTGGTTCTCAGCTGACCTCAGAACAGCTGTGCTTTGGTCACTTAACTGACCTCTATGTTTATCTCTCTATAAAATGATACGGCAACATTATCCAGAGTGACTTTGACATTCCTGAGATGTTCAGGTATGGAGCACACATGCTATAGGCTAACATACAATATAGCTGTGATATAAATGTGAATATGAATGAGTTTATGAAAATGAGTTATGAAAGTAATTCACAGACTATGCCTGTAAAATGCAGTGAAATTGTAGCAAAATCAACGGCAAAAATATTACATATTTAGAAAAAGGTTAACCTTATTTAGCATAATATAGCTAATTAAACAATAGCTGTGTGCTCTGGTTTAAATTTTACTGCCATTTCTGAAGCTGATCTTAAATTCATTAATGTAGTTCAGTAAAATACAGGTAGATGACATGCTATTTCAACACAATGTAACTTTTTTGACATGGATAAAATTAGGCCTGAGTATATCTGAGCCAGATTTATAAAGGTTGATCAGACTGTGTGAATGAAAAACTGTGTATTGAAGTCTTAGCATACTTGTCTATGTAACTGTGTATTAAAGGTATATTTGTGTATGTAACTGTGTATCGAAGGTATTCTTGTGTATGTAACTGTGTATTAAAGGTATACTTGTGTATGTAACTGTGTATTGAAGGTATACTTGTGTATGTGACTGTGTATTGAAGGTATACTTGTGTATGTGACTGTGTTTTGAAGGTATACTTGTGTATGTAACTGTGCATTGAAGGTATACTTGTGTATGTGACTGTGTATTGAACGTATACTTGTGTATGTAACTGTGTATTGAAGGTATACTTGTGTATGTGACTGTGTATTGAAGGTATACTTGTGTATGTGACTGTGTATTGAAGGTTTACTTGTGTATTTAACTGTGTATTGAAGGAATATTTGTGTATGTAACTGTGCATTGAAGGTATACTTGTGTATTTAACTGTGTATTGAAGGTATACTTGTGTATTTAACTGTGTATTAAAGGTATATTTGTGTATGAGACTGTGTTTTGAAGGTATACTTGTGTATGTAACTGTGCATTGAAGGTATACTTGTGTATGTGACTGTGTATTGAAGGTATACTCGTGTATGTGACTGTGTATTGAAGGTATACTTGTGTATGTGACTGTGTATTGAAGGTATACTCGTGTATGTGACTGTGTATTGAAGGTATACTTGTGTATGTGACTGTGTATTAAAGGTATACTTGTGTATTTAACTGTGTATTCAAGGTATATTTGTGTATGTGACTGTGTATTGAAGGTATACTTGTGTATTTAACTGTGTATTAAAGGTATACTTGTGTATTTAACTGTGTATTAAAGGTATACTTGTGTATGTGACTGTGTATTGAAGTCTTGAATACTTGCCAACTGTGGTTTAACCGTCAAAATTGGCTTCCTGTAAATCATGTGATACAGCAGGGGTTCTGTTATAAGTTCAAGCAGCAACTTTGTTATCCCCGCACAAAAACAGAATCATCACATCAGAAAGTAGGTGATTTATGTCTTTCAAATTTTTTTAAATGCACAGGCTCATGATATACTATTATAATATACTTCTTTTGTGAACTTACTGCATTACAAATGCAATGTTGTACAAAACTGTAACCTCTGGTAATATGTAAATGTTTGCTATTTAAACTTGATCTATCTTTAATGGACTGTAAATTGGCATTGGAAGTACATTTTATTTCATTTCTTGTGTAAATGAGTCTCTATTCTGTGACAGAATAAAAGTATATCTAGTGTAGAAAGAACAAAACATTGAGCATGTTACTTATTATAATGTCATATTACTGAAAAAGGAAGTGACTGGAATCTGTGTTTAGCAATCCTCAGATTAAAACTAATAAAAAGTATGTAGTGTTAGTGAATATTTTGTATGCTTGAGTGTACAGTTCCAATACACTAATTCAAAACAAAAAGCTATTCTCATGTTTCTCATGTGTTGACATTCTAGAAACAAGACCATTTGAGTTGCTTCTCTCAACTGGATAGCAGTCATGGCAGATTGTCTGCATTTCTCTCATGGGTAAGACTTCATTACCATTTGATAGAACTTGTTATAGCCTCAACTTTATTATAAATCAACAAATGAAAAATCAAACAGTTCAGAAGATGCATGAAAATTACAAATGCCAAACATCCATTTCAACAACAACAAAGATTTTATTTGAAAGTAGCGCTGAATGATTTGGGGAAAAAATGTAATTATAATTTTCCGACCAATATTGTGCTTTAAATATTGATTATTTTCTAAAAATCAAGCTCCAAGCTTGTATAGGTGGTCTACATAGAGTCACAAATCATACATGAAAAGAATTAGTTAATTAATTAATGCAATTGCTAAGACCATGTTTATTTTAACAGCCAATATTAATAAATAAAAAAAAACTTTCATACAATTATCTTACATAAAAATAAAAAAAGACAAAATTCTTAATTTAAGAAACAACATAAATCTCTAAATTTGTAACCATATCAGCAGAGATATGGAAGTTCAATGACAGTAAAAATGTACAGAACTGTTCTTAGAAACACAGCTATGAGTTTTTTTATTTGCATTACCCAGAAATTAGAGTTATTCCACATGTTCATTTATTACTTATTATTAAACCATCTGTTTCACTGTTAAAATCATCAATTTCACAACCGTTGCTAAATGACATTATTCAACACACATGTGTTCAGTTGTGTTTTGTGTTTTCACTTTTCATGGTTGGTGAGTTACCTAGTTTGCTAACTGCATCAAAATGGAGGATTCTTTTAGTCACTAGTCTTCCGATCTTGCTTTGGTGACACTCATTTCTTAAACTGCAAATGTCTGGTGTAGCTGCAGATTTATTTGGCTATACAGTGTTAACCCTTTTCCTTAAATAATGAAATTAAAAAAACATATAATATAAACCTTAACCATATAACTGTATAACCTTATATTTATCAAAAGAACAGAGATGAAGAAGGGCCTTAAAGCACAGCAGGCTATGTTTACAAAGGCAAAATCTGTGTGATAATGCAATAAAAGCCAGTTTCATTGTGGCAGAAGAATTAGCTAAGTCAGGCCGACCTTTCACCAAGGGTACTTTTCTGAAGCAGCAGTTTGTGATTTATTGTGTCCAGAAAAAAGGCAAGTATTTGCAAATGTCAGCGTTAGCAGAAACATAGTGGCCACCAATCCACTAGAGCAGCGCACTGAAAAAGGAAGTAACTTTTTAGCTTATTTACTTGCTGCTGCTGAACAGCACTGACACTACAGACACAGGTCATTGTCAGTTCTCATTCATAAGTGGACTCCAATTTATCAGTTACAGAACATCTTGGTGTTAATCAGTTCATGACACGACTGCTTGTAAGGACATTTTTCAAGAAGTGGAGAAATTTGTGAATGACGATGTTGCCGTGGAACAAGCTCATGGGACTGAAGACAGGTCAATGTGCAATGATAGGAGAAGACTGGTGGGGAAAATGCGAGAAAAAAATAACCTCTGTATTATACACCAAGAGGCGCTTTGTGATAAAGTGCTGAGAATAGATCATGTTATGTGGCTGTAATGAAAACAGTTAATTTCATCAGTGCAAAGGTTTCAGTAAGAGCCAGCCATTTCTTTCCTTTCATCCCAGAAATGATGTCAGAGCTCTGCCTACACACCTCCCATAAGCTGTATATATCTTTCAGTACATACATGTGCAAGCAGTTATGCTCTGTGGTGAAGATAAACAAATAACCTCACAGGACACTGATAGAAAGTGTTGTATCTGAGGGTCTCAGCACCTCAGAAATTGATCCCAAGATTTAAAGAATAGATTCCAGGTGGTCTAGTTCAAGCAAATAGGTAGAGTTTGGGGACATTTAATAGTTTAACAGTTATCTATAGATGATATAGCCTATTGTTATAACCCTGTTTCTAAAAATGTTGGGACGCTGGGCAAAATGTAAATAAAAACAGAATGTTCTGATGTGCAAATCATTAAAACCCTTTATTTAACTGTAAATAGCACAAAGACAATATATCAAATGTTGAAACTGAGAAATGTTATTGCTTTTGAAAAATACACCGATCAGGCATAACATTATGACCTCTTTGTTTCTACACTCATTGTCCATTTTATCAGCTCCACTTACTATATAGGTGCACTTTGTAGTTCTACAGTTACAGACTGTAGTCCATCTGTTTCTCTGCATACTTTGTTAGCCCTCTTTTACCCTGTTCTTCAGTGGTCAGGACCCCCATGGACCCTCACAGAGCAGGTACTATTTGGGTGGTGGATCATTCTCAGCACTGCAGTAACACTGACCTGGTGGTGGGTGTGTTACTGTGTTTTGTGCCGGTATGAGTGGATCAGGCACAGCAGAGCTGCTTTATCTTTGCATTCTTCAGAAATTGTTAAAAATAATCTACAAAAATAAGAGCAGGCAGACAAGTCCAAAAGGTATCAGACATAAAGGCAAAGTCCAGAAACAGTCAAGCACAGTCAGAACCAGTAACAGGATAACAAACACAGGAATAAACGCTCGGTAGCTCTACTGGAGATGCAATACCTCACAAAGTCTAGTGCTAAAAGCCTGGGCTTATAAACTGTACTAACCAGATCATGTGATACATAGCACAGGTGAACAGAATCAGTAATCCCTTGAGGCAGATCTCTGATAGGAAGTGTGAGGTGATGTCACAGTCATGTGTTCACCCTGAGGATTCTAGGAGATGGAGCCCTCCAGAGTGTCAGCGTCAGAGGGATGCATGACAACGTTCTTGCATAAAATACGATAAATTAGATTAACACAGAAATAGAAACTACTTTGTGGAATAGAAAATGTCATTTTTGCTTATGAGTTAAACAGTTCTCAGTTACATTATTCACACACAGTTGTATGCAACAGTTTGGGCACCCTTGGCTAAATGTTGTTGATTTTTGAAGTGAAAAGAAGTAAACATAACCTCTGCAGCAGCTTAGTTTCAAAAATACCATTTTTGTGCAAATGGTATTGTTTGTTAATGTTAATGTTTGTACACAGTTACTTTATACCTGAATAACTTAAAAACAGTCAGTACTTTGTAACACCCCCATTGGCAGATATGGCAGCTTGTAAACAAGCATATTTTATATTATTGTTTTAGTTTCCTTCTGACATTTTGATGCAGATCGTGTTTATTCAAGCAACTCTGCGGGGTAGAATGATGCACCACCGCCTGGGATGCACCTTGCCTTGCCATTCACAATTCCAATCTGAAATGACATTAAGGACAGTGGAAATTATAAGTTGAAAGTGCTTTTATATCCTTTTATACTGTTTTGTGTCTGTGCTGTTATCTGGTGTCGACCAGAGGAGGATGGGTTCCCCTTTTGAGTCTGGTTCCTCTCGAGGTTTCTTCCTCCTGTTGAGGGAGTTTTTCATTGCCACTGTCGCCAAGTCTTGCTCACTGGGGGCGTGGACCCGGATTCTCTGTAAAGCTGCTTTGTGACAACATCTGTTGTAAAAGGTGCTATATAAATAAATTTGACTTGACTTGACTTGACCTATATCTTTTTATAGCCCTAATCTGCTTTGTAGGAATCAATTTGCTTAATTTTCAGTTCCTCAGCCAGCTGCTTACAGGAGGCCATAGTTGTTAGTACAAAGTAATCTTAGAAAGAGTGGTCTGGCACAACTTCACTGTCCAACAAGGTGCTTGGTAAAAGCAAAAACTGTAGAAAGGAGCCATGCGCTGCTTGTCCTTTCTTGCCCTTGGATGTCAGGGTGATAATAAAAGTTGAAAGTTGTTCATTTGAGATGTGTAAGCTGCCTATTGTTTGACTCTATTGCCTATTGTTGTAACTTCCTTTGCTCTGATTGGAAGTTGGATGTTTCAGGCATTTTATAGGTTGTTTTAAAATTGTACTTCCTGTTCTTTGTGTATATAAACAACAATGGAATCATACTTCCCTTCAACCCTGTTGAAGGCAAAAATTACTTACTTATTTCTTGCAATCAGCTGCTATCACGTAATCCAGGCAAGTTGTTTCTACTGTCTGATTAAAAACTCAAATGTGTTTATTTTAGTGATTAGAACAAACTCAAAAAGATAAGAGGGGGCAGAGTCACCCAGAACTCCTAGTGGGTTATTAGCACTTATTTCTCCATCAAATATTTTCACAAAAACAACACGTTCACATGTTAAATGGGTTAATAATAAATTTGGATGCACTTTACTTGCTTTAGGTATCTTAACCATGAATGTGTTTAGCATTTTTGCTGAGTGGTCAGCAACTTAAATCGCTGCTAAGTCAGTAGTTCTTTTCAAAACTGTTATTGGAGTATGTAACTCTGAAGGCTCATTTTCATGAGTTCATGATTATTACAATAATGTTGTGAAAATCTAGCAATGATATAGTTATTTAAATGGAAAAGCTCAAGTTTTTTCAACAGTATAGTTTGTGTTGCTGTAAACTTGCAGGATTTAACTTTGTTAAACTTAAAAGTTTGAGTGTATTCAAGTCTATGTATAATTTCAAATTTAAAAACTGAGTTTCAAAACTTCATTCATTTGAGGCAATGAGTTAGCTCTAATATTTTGAGTAGACATGACCTGTGAATTGTGCATTAACATTTGCTGAAAAATGTTATTTTTTTTAATAGTTTACTGCAGAGATTGTGTTTGCCACTTTTTACATCAAAAATGACCCAAACCAGAAGTGCCTGAACTTTTGCATGCAACTGTAACATCTTACAACAATAATAATGATAACAAAATAAACATAAAGTGCAACTAATTGACCCATGACCCAGAAGGATAAACAACTTAGAAAATGTTTGTGTGTGCAACTGATTGAAAAGTGCAAATTATTAGTACACTTCAATTGCATCAAATTAGGTGTTTTGATTATGTTTAGCTAAAAAACTCATCTACAAAGCCATCAAAGTCCAGCAAGACGGCAAAACATTTCCTAGTATAGCCATTCACTAAATGTGTTGAGATTAAGTTTTAAACACAGCTTAGAAATGGCAGCAGAAAAATCTTTTAAGAAAGATTTCCACTAATACACACACATAGT